ACAAGAAAGCTCTGAAGAATCAAAAGCTCAAAGCCTGAAATCCATAGAGATTCCTGTTCCTGGCAAGGCCATAGAAAAATGAATCCAATATTGGCTTCTTTTTGCTTTCTTCTGGAGGGTGAAAGGAATTATGGGAGTGAGTAAAATATGAGTGGATACTAGCAACAGGATGCTGGATGAGCTGACTGTACCAAAGAATAAAACCCTAATGATTGTTTTGGCAGTGACAGAGAACGTAGAGCGTAGTATGTTATTGAAGTGGTAACATGCAGAAATGAGTTCTGCACACACGACAATGAATTATGCAAAAAGAGCTGCTGAGATTGTTATAAGCATGAATAATTCAAATCTATATCCTGCTCTCTCTAAACTGAGTCTTTGCAGTGACAGGATATTTTTAAAAATACGCTCCTACGGTTTCAAAGAGCTCACAACTGACACTTTTACACCTTGTTGCGACATGCAGCTATTTGAACAGTGAAAGCTCGCCATGGGCAATAAACCTTTAAGCTTTCACAAATCTTTAAGTATATGTCAGCGTATACTAAGTATAGCTGTGTTCCAAAACCTAGTGAGCTGTCTTGCCATCTACTTCCTACATAGACAGCATCCTAACTGGACTGAAACTTAAGTCTTAAGTGACTGATTTGAAATGCTCTACATAGGTAGCAACTTGAATACCGTCTGTCTTGTCACATGAATACTGAGTGAAATAGTCACATTGTAAAATTAGACTTAAATACTGTAACAGTAACAGCACACATTATGTTAAGCGTCTGGACAAGTCTTGACTCCCATCCTACATTTTTTGTTCTTCAATAATCTTTTTCACTCACAGTAAGCATATACAAGACTCGATTTTACAGCTGATTCCAAAAGAGTTTGACGTTAACATGTTGCTGTAAGAATGTGTTACTTTAATAAGCGTAAAAAGATAGTATACAAATATTCATTAAAATAGCAACTTCAAAAATTGACCATCCCGCAACCGATTGCAACAATGATTTTTTTATGAACTCTTAAATAAGTCCACGAAGTCCGTACTTTTGTTGACAGTTGACTGCGTGATGGAGTTGAAAAATGAAATTGGGGGAGGGGGGCTGGTATATATAACGCAATAAATACCCTGCACACAAACATGGAATGAGATTGTTTATAGAAATTAGACTGTTCATTTTAGTGATAATTTTTGGTATTGAATGCAAATAGTTTGCTTAGACATTTCTGTAGACTCTTGGAAGATTTTTTTACTTAGTCTGCTGCAATGAATTCTGGGATGGCCCTGTCTGTTAAGGACACATGCAACGCTGCCATAGGATTCGGCCAAAATTAGGTATCCTAGATGGCTGCATAATCTTGCTGCCAACCTTTTGAAACAGCTTTTGCATCCCATGATGCCTTAAAATGCTCGCTAGGTTTGGGAACAGAGCTTATGTGTGCACTAGAAGTCTCATTTAATTCCCACCAACGCCTCACAGATCTAGCAGCTGACTAGGCCTCTTCTAGCTTTATCTGTCAATCTTATCTTTCTCGGAGTGGCACAGGGCACAGTAGAAGCCCAGTCAGCATGTGACAAAAGCAAGAGCCTCATTTGTATGACGAAAGCGCTGGCATCATAAATCCGAGCTGAGAAGCACAGGAACAGGATGCGCTGATCCCTGACTACATCGCTAAATAGTTTGACCGAGATCATTTTTTGGGTTGGCGGTAAGTGAAGCGGTGGATTTTTCAATTACGCTAATTACTTCACCAATCGGAAGAGATGTGACATGGTACTGATGTGAATGTGGGAGTCTGGAACAAGAAGTAACAAGAAAAGTATTATGTGCTGGTGACATTAGCTTTCACTTTACTTCTTAAATGTTCAGAACATTATGGCGTAATTATAAACCAATATGGACTTGTCAAACTGTCTGTTCCCAGCTGTTCCCTGCAGATTCCACATGGTGGTTTCCATCACGAGCCGATCAACGTCCAAATTCAGTAGGGAAGCAGAGATGACATTCAGAATGACGTGATTTCAAAGGAACATTCACCGAAAAATAAAAAATCTTATGTCATTTGGAAGAATGTTTGAACTGTTTTCATCCATATAGTAAAATGAAAGTCGCTGGTGTCCAAAACAACACTGGACTTCATTGACTTTCAAAACTTCTTGTTTTTGTTCAAGTGTTTTTAAGAAGAAGATGTTTAAAAGAAAGTCACACAGGTTTGGAATGACAGGTGGGTGACTAAATGATGAAAGAATTTATATTTTGGGGTGAACTATTGCTTTAAATTGACATTTATTTATCACGCAACACTGCTTGAATAATAGGAACGGATGTGGAGAAATCTACAGATGACTCACCAATGGATCCTCTGCAGTGAATGGGTGCCGTCAGAATGAGAGTCCAAACAGCTGATAAAAACAGGGTGACTAAATGATGAAAGAATTTATATTTTGGGGTGAACTATTGCTTTAAATTGACATTTATTTCTCACGCAACACTGCTTGAATAATAGGAACGGATGTGGAGAAATCTACAGATGACTCACCAATGGATCCTCTGCAGTGAATGGGTGCCGTCAGAATGAGAGTCCAAACAGCTGATAAAAACATCACAATAATCTAATCTAAAATCTAAATTTGCTGAAAATGTGCTCACCCTCGGGTCATCCGAGATGTTGATGAGTTTGTTTCTTCGTCAGATTTGGAGAAATGTAGCATTGCATCCCCTGCAGTGAATGGGTGCCGTCAGAATGAGAGTCCAAACAGCTGATAAAAACATCACAATAATCTAATCTAAAATCTAAATTTGCTAAAAACATCATAATAATCCACAAGTGATCCACACGACTCCAGTCCATCAATTAACATCTTGTCAAGTGTAAAGCTGTGTGTTTGTAATTAACAAATTCATCATTAAGGCGTTTTAACCAAAATACCTCTAATCTATAACGCTTCCTTCCAGTGAAAAAGTCCATCTCCTGTTGTCCTCTCACATCAAAATCTACTGACAGATTTGTGTAGACTGTTTTTACTTAGAATCAGTGCTTCATCTGTGCATATTTCTCTCCTGATTCATGACTTTTTCACTGGAGAAATGGAGTTATGGATAGAGGACTCATATTTTAGCTGGAAGCGATGGTTTGAAGTTAAAACATCTTACGATGGATTTGTTTCTTACAAACATGCAGCTTTTCACTTCACAAGATATTAATTGATGGACTGGATTCATGTCATTTACTTGTGGATTATTGTGATGTTTTTATCAGCTGTTTGGGCTCTCAATCTGACGGCACCCATTCACTGCAGAGGATCCACTGGTGAGCAAGTGACAAACAAACTCATCTACTGTATATCTTGCATGGCCTAAGGGCGAGTAAATGTTACCTTAAAATATTCTCCCTTTGAATCCCACAACAGAAAAAAAAACAAGTCATGCAGGTGAGTAAATAATGACAAAATTTTCATTTTTAGCGATCTTCTCTTAGTCCCATTAATAGCCCTATTTCCTTCCATCAGCTTTGGTTTAAGAGGAATAGCCAGGTGTGGGAAGATGATCAACAGACACATTCTTGTTTGAAATGCCATTGCATTTAATGATACATTTACTGTAAATAGCAGATGGTTCATTAAGCTGAATTTGCCACCAAAAGGGCTGAGAGGCCAAGATTACAGTGCACGTCTGTGTGTAAATGTGTATGCATGCATTTATGTGTGTGTGTGTGCCATCCCGGCTGGACTCCATCCATATTTCATGACTGATAAAGGTTTCGGTAGCTGTGTACACTTTCCAAAGAGCAGAACTGTAATATTCAGCCATTTTGCCATATTCCACTGCAATATGCTCCAGATGTGGTTTATGGCTATCATGAAAAAAAAGAAAAGAAAAAGAAAATCATTTTGCTATTTTCCATAATATCATTCTGCAATTTAAGAACAGAAAAACAGAGGCTTTGTTTGTCATCCCACCTTCCCTGCCCCCTCAAACTACCTTTCTTCTTTTCTCTGAACTTCTCTCCTTCTAAGTGAAGAAATGACCAAATGTCATCCTGTTTATTTGAGTAAAGCTGTAGTGAACAAGATTACAGGAGACCTGACGCCCATGTGAACTCCACTGTACTGCTGCACTCCTCAAACTGCTCAACTGACTTTATGTCCATCTCTACCCGTCAGCCAATGAGAGATGAGCAGATTCCAGACTGCTCATCTGCCAAAAATCATCCTTCAAACTGTCAGCTGCTGTCACAACAAACTTACAAAAAAATAACAAATCAAAATAATATCACTGAGGTTATCATTTGGCTCAACTTGCCCTGAAAATTTGATGGCACTTAATAGAAGCACCATTTTAATTTAGTGGATAATTAATCAGTTATCAATATGTACATAAAGGGTCTCTGTCTGTCTCTCTCTGTGTGTGTGTGTGTGTGTGTGTGTGAGAGAGAGAAAACAGAGAAAAAGACAGATCAAAGATGGAAAGATAGATAGATAGATAGATGATATGTAAATATTTATTAATATGTAAACTAAAATGTACATAACTGAATAAATAAATACAAATAGAACGTAAGTCGAATACGTTATTGTTTGCTGTTGATGTAATAATAGATAGAATAGATCATGAATATGCTATTTCTCAAATAAAACAGTATTGCTTCGGTTTTAGACGTAAAATAATTTGCTCAGTAAATTAATTAGAGCGTCTATATAAAGGAAAACAAAAGATCAGCCTTTACTGCTGCTATTTCTTCTTATTGCTGCATATAAGGACTATTCAAGATGACTATTCAAATTAATAAAGGAAAACAAAATAAATAATTATTTAAAAAATAATAAAGCACACTCGATATGCATTATTCTGTCACTTGCCTTCAAGGTTTTAAATCAGCTGAAAATTATGTGACATTTCATCTGCCATCAGACTAGATTTCACGGCTCATTATCGCACCTGCAGCGATCTAACTTGCGTTTTATTAACGATGCGGCAATATAATGTAAATATATTACTTACCAACGCCATATTTTTCATGTTCAGTCGGTATCCACATTTTTTCCGCGTCAAGCAAAAGAAAGTGTGCTATAAAACAGGGCAATTACGGCGGATACTATCCATATTGTTGTTACACAGAGGTTGCACTGTATTGTTCTGAGGGCAGAGCCACAGCAGCATCCCACATATACCACACTTCTCAGCCCTGAAGAAAAACACCATTGCCTCATGGGAGATGTAGGAAATGAATGAGAAAGATTGGATATAGAACTACAACACCCAGTAACCGCATACACAGCTGCGGTTTAACTCTGATTGGTCAGTGCGTCATTCACCAGGTCACGTGATTTGAGGGGGGAAAAAACCATGGCCGCTCAGACACACTGCACAAGTTTGAGAGGTTGGTTAACGGAATTATTAATATTGGCAGTGATTTTATATTATATTGCTTTATTTGCGTTTATATCTAATTTTTAAATATCTAGCAAGTTATATGTTTATTTTTCTGAGTATGCTTAAAAAAAAATGTTAAGTTTGTCATCCGCTTTTCTGGACTCTAATGGTCCAACTTGTTTGAACTTGTCTCCCAGCCCTTCAAAGCTGGTTTTCAGCTGGTCTACCTGGTCTTCCAGTTGGAAAGAAGCCAAAAACGCTTTAAAAACCAGCAACAGACCAGCCAAACAAGGCCAATAGCAGACCATAGTTTAAGCTGTTTTTCTCAGCAGGGAGTGGGTGGTTAACGTGTAAAGTTTGTTGATATGGTGTGTGTGTGTGTGTGTGTGAGAGAGAGAGAAAACAGAGAGAAAAAGACAGATCAAAGATGGAAAGATAGATAGATAGATAGATGATATGTAAATATTTATTAATATGTAAACTAAAATGTACATAACTGAATAAATAAATACAAATAGAACGTAAGTCGAATACGTTATTGTTTGCTGTTGATGTAATAATAGATAGAATAGATCATGAATATGCTATTTCTCAAATAAAACAGTATTGCTTCGGTTTTAGACGTAAAATCATTTGCTCAGTAAATTAATTAGAGCGTCTATATAAAGGAAAACAAAAGATCAGCCTTTACTGCTGCTATTTCTTCTTATTGCTGCATATAAGGACTATTCAAGATGACTATTCAAATTAATAAAGGAAAACAAAATAAATAATTATTTAAAAAATAATAAAGCACACTCGATATGCATTATTCTGTCACTTGCCTTCAAGGTTTTAAATCAGCTGAAAATTATGTGACATTTCATCTGCCATCAGACTAGATTTCACGGCTCATTATCGCACCTGCAGCGATCTAACTTGCGTTTTATTAACGATGCGGCAATATAATGTAAATATATTACTTACCAACGCCATATTTTTCATGTTCAGTCGGTATCCACATTTTTTCCGCGTCAAGCAAAAGAAAGTGTGCTATAAAACAGGGCAATTACGGCGGATACTATCCATATTGTTGTTACACAGAGGTTGCACTGTATTGTTCTGAGGGCAGAGCCACAGCAGCATCCCACATATACCACACTTCTCAGCCCTGAAGAAAAACACCATTGCCTCATGGGAGATGTAGGAAATGAATGAGAAAGATTGGATATAGAACTACAACACCCAGTAACCGCATACACAGCTGCGGTTTAACTCTGATTGGTCAGTGCGTCATTCACCAGGTCACGTGATTTGAGGGGGGAAAAAACCATGGCCGCTCAGACACACTGCACAAGTTTGAGAGGTTGGTTAACGGAATTATTAATATTGGCAGTGATTTTATATTATATTGCTTTATTTGCGTTTATATCTAATTTTTAAATATCTAGCAAGTTATATGTTTATTTTTCTGAGTATGCTTAAAAAAAAATGTTAAGTTTGTCATCCGCTTTTCTGGACTCTAATGGTCCAACTTGTTTGAACTTGTCTCCCAGCCCTTCAAAGCTGGTTTTCAGCTGGTCTACCTGGTCTTCCAGTTGGAAAGAAGCCAAAAACGCTTTAAAAACCAGCAACAGACCAGCCAAACAAGGCCAATAGCAGACCATAGTTTAAGCTGTTTTTCTCAGCAGGGAGTGGGTGGTTAACGTGTAAAGTTTGTTGATATGGATCTTCTAATAGATGATCAGCGACCCTTTAATCTGTCACTGCAAAAGCTCATTTCGAAAAGGGCATAACAACTCATAAAGTGCACTTAGGAGCACAAATGTATCAGGTTTTTAGAGGATCACATTCTGTTTAACTTACATGAGTCACACCGTCATTTTGTGTGAATCAGCTGCTTGTTTGTGTGAATGTTGGACATCTTGAAAGGTCGTGGGATTTATGAGACAAGGGTTTCTCACTAGCTGGAGTACTTCAGACTGAATTAATGACCCAGAATGGATTTAATGTCTTCAGTCATTTAAAACACAAAGATATCTGTGCATCATATTTTATTAAATGTGTGAATATTGTGTCTTCTCTCATTGTTAGCTAAGCAGGATTGTATTCTTGAGCCGCTTTGTTTCCCCGAGCACCTGTGTGGCAGCGCTTCTCTCACCTCCTCCAGCGATGGCCATCCGGTGACCTGTGCTCTCTGCTCAGACTCTTTTCCCGCTTCCGTAAAAGAGCAGCTTCTCAAGCACATGGTGTTGGATCACAAACTGGTTATCGCTGATGTCAAACTCATCGCTGACTTTCCACGGTGAGAATTCACAAGATTTGTAACCTATGTGTGTCAGCATTTCTTTAAAGAGATATTCATCAAGCACAATACAAATACCACAAAATAATGAAAAAATTATAATTGTTTTGTTGCAGGTACATGTTGTACTGGAAGAAACGCTTTACAGAACAGCCCATCACAGACTTCTGCAGCATTATCAAGACCAACTCTGAAGGTCCTGTAGGTAAGACACATTTGAGCTTGTATTTACATGTATGTACATTTTATATAGTTAGTTAATAGCCATGGAATTTTCAATACTAATGCTAAAACTATTTTGAAAATATTTAAAAGCAACTGTTTTTGTTGTAAACTGAATATGTTCATCTAACATAAAATATATAAAAAAATTTATCCATCCCTTAAAATAGTGATTTTATTCTGTCCCACTGTAGTCAACATAATGTAAAAATCACAGAATTATGTTTAATTATTATGCTATGTTTAATTATAACCTAATTTTAATGAACAAAACATTATATTTAACATATACTGTAGATTCAAATATTAAAAAATATTTAATAATATTTAACATTAAACATAATATTAAATTTTTATTGTCCCACATTTTGTACATTGGAACTTTTTCCCACATTTCCAAACATGTAGTTTAATTTAGAACAAAAAAATGCAACTCTGCGACTTACAAACCTTAATCTGCCTTATTTTTTGTTTTGAGATTTTATTAATTCATTTTTGATGTTTTTTATTTTACAAAATCACACGTTTTTTAGCTGTATGTGGACATGACAAATTTTAGTAACAAGGTTCCAAAAGTGGAAACCTCATATAATTTAATTTAATTTTTATAATTTATGCATTTAGCAGACGCTTTTATCCAAAGTGACTTACAGTGCATTCAGGATATACATTTTTTACCAGTATGTGTGTTCCATGGGAATCGAACCCACAACCTTTTGTGCTGCTAACGCAATGCTCTACCACTGAGCCACAGGAACATATAAAATGTCAAATGAATTGAAAATAAGAAATGAAGTGCCTGCTATGACCTGGTCTAAAAATGGCATATTGGTGATGATCTGCCATTAGTTTACCATAATTGTTTATGGATTCTAGGTCACAAATCAAGGTTATTGTTAACTGAAGCTATAAAATATAATCTTTGTTTATTGAAATGAAGCTAAATTTAAAAGATCAGAAAAGATGGAAAAAAAAACTGAAACTGCCTTACTAACTGATATACAATTGCTACTTGCAATACTAAAAGTAAAACTGATATAGAAATAATTAGAATTTGCTAAAATGCATTTAGCAGACGCTTTTATCCAAAGTGACTTACAGTGCATTCAGGATATACATTTTTTACCAGTATGTGTGTTCCATGGGAATCGAACCGAATCGAAGTTTATTGAAATGAAGCTAAATTTAAAAGATCAGAAAAGATGGAAAAAAAAACTGAAACTGCCTTACTAACTGATATACAATTGCTACTTGCAATACTAAAAGTAAAACTGATATACAAATAATTAGAATTTGCTAAATTTAAATATGTAACAATTTTATACTAATAATAATAAATAAAAGCTAATTCAAATACTATAATAGCATATAAATAATACTAAAATAATACTGGTTTGGGGAATAGCCCTTTAACTTCTCTGACTTAAAAGTGAAGTCTAAATCTATGAAGGCCTTTTCACATGGTGTCCTTTTTAGACTCATATTACCAAAAAGCTGCTTTGTGTCATTTTAGAACAACAAGAGCACTACTTCCTATTGTGTGATGCTCTGCCAGAGGACAGGATCCTTAGGGAGCAGCTACAACAGAGACGACTGGTGAGTGTCTATAAAAAGACAAGGACCTGCGACTGTCGGGTTAGGAGTGCTGCTGCTGTGTGACATTAGGTTATGAGTATTCACAACTGATCCAACAGTAGCACAAACTACAATCAAATTAATATGCAGAAAAAATGGAATATGAGTAACACCGTCATAAGAGAAGACTTGTGTCTTTTTAATTTTTAACTAAAATTGTAAATTAAAAAAGGAATATTTTTGCTTAATTTTTTTGTTTTATTATTGTTATTGTAAAACAAGGGCTTTTTGTGTCCTGAACTAAAAAATATTGGATTGTGAAAATGTTATTAAAAATATTAATGGAATGACAGTAGTATGTATTTTCATATGTAACGAAAATGGTTTTGAAGAGATATTTTGGTTAATAATTATTTCATTATTAATCATTTTTTTCCTACCCACAAATCCTGTTATGTCAGATAGAAAATGTCATTTTATAGATTGAAAATGTTACTGAGAGTTAAAAGATTATTGAAGCAAACTTTTTTGTTTTGAATATGTACAGTGGTGTGAAAAAGTGTTGGCCCCCTTCCTGATTTCTTATTTTTTTGCATGTTTGTCTCACTTTAATGTTTCAGATCATCAAACAAATTTAAATATTAGTCAAAGATAACACAAGTAAACACAACATGCAGTTTTTAAATGAAGGTTTTTATTATTAAGGGAAAACAAAA